TTTTCTCTGGTATAAAGAATGCTATAAAGAACAACAGGGTACTAAAATTTTATGAACAGTCCCTTCTAAAAGGGTTCATAGGTGTATAGGGCTTTTTAAATGGAGATTTTTAATTAAAAAATATTGCTGATGGCTCGGCATCCATAGGACAGTGGTTACAGTGCCAGCCACATACACCAAGGGTGGCAGGTCTGAATCCGGCCCAGGCCAGCTAAGCAACTACAACAACAAAAAATAGCCAGGCATTGTGGCAGGTGTCTATAATCCCAGCAACTTCGGAGGCTGAGGCAAGAGAATTACTTAAGTCCAAGAGTTGGAGGTTGCTGTGAGCTGTGACGCCATGGCACTCTACCGAGGGCAACATAATGAGACTCTGTCTCAAAAAAATAAAAATAAAAAACATTGCCAGGCATGGTGGCACAAGCCTTAGTCCCAGCTACTTGGGAAGCTGAGACAGGAGGGTGCTTGAGGTTGTAGCACAGGTTGTAGTGTGCTCTGGTTGTACTTGTGAATAGCCTCAGCACCTCCGTGTACTCATCACTCAGCTGGAACAGTATAACCATGGGAAATATGTTTCTTCTATGTCCTACTCCAGATTATTTTAAAGAAATTCCCAATCATTTCATTTTATCGTGAATGCGTATTTCTAAAAAGTAAAGACTCAAAAAAACAACATGTAGTTTTTAAAGTTTTTTCGTACACTATAACCAAATTTGTGTCCAGAAAAGTACTATTTTATATGACTAGTATATGAAAGTTCCTGTTGTTTTTTACCCTCTTCACTGTTTATTTGTGTCAAATTCAACCATAAAAAGTTAATTTGTTTTAATTTGTATTCCTTTGATTAAAGATGTGATTAAAAGATTTTATTTGCTTATCATTTGTTTCTTTGTGAAAATATCTGTTCTTTTTTTAGTTTGTTTTTTAAACAAACATTTTTCTCTTGATACACCTTTTTTCCGGTGTTAAAAATCAACCTGGTATATTAAAATGTAAAAATGTAAAAGAAATTTCTTATATAATCTCATTTTTAAGTCATATTTCAAAAGCAAATAATTTACCAATCATAGAATGTGGCCGAATTACACAACTGCAATGGCTCTGATCATCCAATCAGCCAGAAGTGTTTACTGAGCACCTAGAGGACTCTGAAGTGCAGGTGCCATTTGGTAGAGAAAAAGACATAGGCTGCCTGGTCTCTTTGTATTGGGGTTCTCAAAACTAATGAATGTATGTGAAAATAACTTAATACATGTTTGTTTTAAGGATATTCCAAGTAAAAGAAACAAATATTAATCTGATTTTCAAGGTTTTTTTTTTTTATGTCCTATAATATGGACCATTTGTGGATCTGTTACGGAAGAATTCCTGTTAAACATCACATTTGTTGGAGTGAAAAGTATGAATTAAAAGGTTTTGAATTGCATTTTCTTGAGTTCATATTTCTGCCACCAGGGGTCAGTCCTGCATCGAGACCTTCTCCAGGAACTCCTACCAGTCCCAGCAACCTCACCACTGGCCTGAAAACACCTGCCCCTGCCACAACAACATCTCAGAACCCTCTGGCAAATATCCTCTCGAAGGTGGAGATCACCCCAGAGAGCATTCTATCTGCTCTTTCCAAAACCCAGACACAGTCAGCCCCTGCACTACAAGGTAAGCTGTGGTGTGCCATAGGGACTTGAATTGCAAATGTTTGTTTCTGATTTAATCCTGGATTCCATTTCTGAGGAATACAAATTCATAAAATGTATGAGACAGTTAATTCATTATTCTCTACATATTTATCCGCAAGCCAGAATTTAAAGAATCATAAAATGTCAAAGATGAAAGAAACTTTTTATCTCGCCTCCTCACCTTCTTTTCATGTAAGGAAACTAAGGCTTGGTAAGGTGATGTGACCTGCTTTAAACTCACATTCAGTGATGAGCCAGGACCAAAAGCCAGCATTCTTTCACTTACACCATGATACCCCTAGTGGTTCTATTAATCACCCCAACTTTTAGTATAGGTTAGTATATGTTGAGTTTTGTATATTTGAATGTTAACTGAAGCTAAAGACAGTGAGCAAGGTCAATCTGTTACCAAAAATAAATCTTGCTAGGCATGGTGACTCAGGCCTGTAATCCTAGCTCTCTGGGAAGATGGGGCACCCAGATTGCCTGAGCTCACAAGTTCAAGACCAGTCCAAGCAAGAGTAAGACCCTGTCTCTAAAAATAGTGAGGCATTGTGGGAGGCACCTGTAGTCCCAGCTACTTGGAAGGCTGAGCTATGACACCACAGCAGTTTACCAAGGGCAACATAATGAGACCTTGTCTCAAAAAAAAAAAAATTTCAAGAGCAGTTTGCTTTGTTGAACTTCACCCTTTGACTCAAAGAATTCTTTCCTAGTGCTTCTGAGAAGGTTTTGATGATCCATGAATAAAGTCACTTTCATCATTGTTAATCTAGACTAATCAATAATCCTTGAATTTTCCCACACCATAAAATGGGGATTATATGTTTTCTTGTCGAAGAATCAGTGCCCCTGGTGGTCTGGGTTTGTAAGTCTTTTGGTGTTTGTTTATATATTTATTATAGCTACATCTTATAACCAAAACTGATATTTGAAAACATTGTTTTGTTTCCCAAAAGTTACATCATACAAGAGATGCCTTTGATGGGTCAGGTGAGGTGGCTCAGGCCTATAATCCTAGCTAGCACTCTGAGAGGCCAAGTCGGGTGGATTGCTTGAGCTTACAAATTCAAGACCAGCCTGAGCAAAAGTGAGACCCTGTCTCTACTAAAAATAGAAAAACTGAGGCAAGAGAAGAATCGCTTGAGCCCAAGAGTTGGAGGTTGCTGTGAGCTATGATGCCACGACACTCTACCCCAGGGTGACAGCTTGAGATTCTTTCTCAAAAAAAAAAAAAAGAGAGAGAGAGAGAGAAAGAGAGATGTATCTTGAAAAAAGTATTCCTTGTTCAAATAAATTTCTAAAATTTGCATATGCTCTCTCTCTCTTGAAAATAAATGTATATGGCTCGGCGCCTGTGGCTCAAGTAAGGTGGCAGGTTCGAATCCAACCAAAAAAAATAGCTGGGCGTTGTGGCGGGCGCCTGTGGTCCCAACTACTTGGGAGGCGGAGGCAGGAGACTCACTTGAGCCCAGGAGTTGGAGGTTGCTGTGAGCTCTGATGTCACAGCACTCTACCCAGGGGGACAACTTGAGGCTCTGTCTGGAAAAAAAAGAAAAGAAATGTATATTAACTTACTAGAGATAAATGTAGAGGTTGGAAAGATAGGATAGAACATCTTTTTGCATTTAGGGAAACATTTCCACAGATGACAAAGTAAGAAATACTGGTTTAAAGTGTTGTTTTAAGAATAATTTTGCCTCTTTTCTTCCTGTTTCGCCTTATTAGTTTAAGTAAATGATTCTGACATTAAAATCTCTGCCTTCCTGTTGCCTTTTATTGTGCCATGTTGGGCTAATTTGTGGACTGCACTGGGAACATTTCAGTGATTTGCTTTTTATTAATAAGTAGGTCCAGTGTTCCCTATGACAGTTAGCCTTGCTTGTTTGTTCTGGATTCACTTTGGCCTCATACTTTGTCTACCAGGTTCCCACCAGAATGAATGAGAATATCTGATTGACCAACATTGTTCCTATTGTATGGTAGGTGTTGTTCTTTTTCACTCCTCTAATCTTTGTTTCTACAGGCCTGTCATCTTTACTTCAGAGTGTTACTGGGAACCCAGTTCCAGCCAGCGAAGCTGCATCACAGAGCACTTCAGCCTCCCCTGCCAGCACCACAGTCTCTACCGTAAAGGGGAGAAATCTGGCCTCTAATACCCAATCTTTTATTTCTAAAAGCTTCAACTATTCTCCTAATTCAACTTCTGAAGTCTCTTCAACTTCAGCCACAAAGCCCTCAATTGGGCAAAGCCCAGGGCTCCCAAGCACTACTTTCAAACTGCCGTCCAACTCTCTGGGGTTCACAGCCACCCACAGCACTGGCCCTGCTGCTGCACCCGCTGACGTTGCCATATGCCAGTCTTCAGAGATCTCCAAGCCAAAGCTGGAATCAGAGTCCACGTCCCCAAGCCTGGAAATGAAGATCCACAACTTTTTAAAAGGTAACCCTGGTTTCAGTGGCTTAAATTTAAATATCCCAATCCTGAGCAGTCTGGGGTCCAGCGCCCCCTCAGAGAGCCACTCCTCCGACTTCCAACGCGGCCCTGCTAGCACTTCAGTGGACAACATTGATGGAACCCCTGTGCGGGATGAACGGAGTGGGACACCCACCCAGGATGAGATGATGGACAAGCCCACCTCTAGCAGTGTAGACACTATGTCCCTGCTTTCTAAGATCATTAGCCCCGGTTCCTCAACACCCAGTAGCACAAGATCACCACCCCCTGGGAGAGATGAAAGCTACTCCCGGGAGCTCTCCAATTCTGTATCTACTTATCAACCCTTTGGCCTGGGCAGTGAATCTCCCTATAAGCAGCCTTCTGATGGAATGGAGAGACCATCTTCCCTAATGGACTCTTCACAGGAAAAGTTCTATCCAGATACTTCCTTTCAAGATGAAGATTACCGAGATTTTGAGTATTCAGGGCCTCCACCCTCTGCCATGATGAACCTAGAGAAGAAACCAGCCAAATCTATCCTGAAATCAAGCAAACTTTCTGATACCACCGAATACCAGCCAATCTTGTCCAGTTACAGCCACAGGGCCCAAGAATTTGGGGTAAAGTCTGCCTTCCCTCCATCTGTAAGGGCCCTTCTGGACTCCAGTGAGAACTGTGACCGTCTCTCCTCTTCTCCTGGGATATTTGGTGCCTTCAGCATAAGAGGAAATGAACCTGGGTCTGACCGGTCACCATCGCCGAGTAAGAATGATTCATTTTTCACCCCTGACTCCAACCACAATAGTTTGTCTCAGCCTACCACTGGGCATCTCAGTTTGCCACAGAAGCAGTACCCAGACTCTGCTCACCCAGTCCCACATCGTTCCCTTTTCTCTCCACAGAATACCCATGCTGCTCCCACGGGTCACCCACCCACTTCAGGTGTGGAGAAAGTCCTGGCCTCTGCCATTTCCACCACATCGACGATTGAATTTAAGAATATGCTTAAAAACGCCTCACGTAAACCCTCAGATGATAAGCATTTTGGCCAGGCCCCCAGCAAGGGCTCTTCAAGTGATGGTGTCAGTCTTTCAAACCTTACCCAGCCCAGCTTGACGGCCGCTGACCAGCAGCAGCAAGAAGAGCACTACCGCATAGAGACCCGAGTCTCCTCCTCATGTTTAGACTTGCCTGACAGCACGGAAGAAAAGGGGGCCCCTATAGAAACCTTGGGGTATCATAATGCATCCAATAGGAGGATGTCAGGAGAGCCAATACAGACTGTAGAGTCCATCCGAGTTCCTGGGAAGGGAAATAGAGGACATGGGCGCGAGGCTTCAAGGGTGGGTTGGTTTGATCTGAGTACCTCGGGCAGCTCTTTTGACAATGGCCCCTCAAGTGCCTCTGAGTTGGCATCCCTTGGGGGTGGGGGCAGCGGAGGCCTCACTGGCTTTAAAACAGCACCATACAAGGAACGGGCACCCCAATTTCAGGAGAGTGTCGGCAGCTTTCGTTCCAACAGTTTCAACTCAACATTTGAGCATCATCTTCCCCCATCCCCCTTGGAACACGGGACACCCTTCCAGAGAGAGCCAGTGGGGCCATCATCTGCCCCACCTGCCCCTCCCAAGGATCATGGTGGTATCTTCTCTCGAGATGCACCCACTCATCTGTCCTCTGTGGATCTTTCGAACCCCTTCACAAAGGAGGCAGCCCTGGCCCATGCTGCCCCACCCCCTCCTCCTGGAGAGCACAGCGGAGTTCCTTTTCCCACCCCACCCCCTCCTCCACCCCCTGGGGAACATAGCAGCAGTGGTGGGAGTGGTGTTCCTTTTGCTACTCCGCCCCCTCCTCCAACCCCTGTTGACCACTCTGGAGTTGTACCCTTCCCAACCCCAGCACTGGCAGAGCATGGAGTGGCAGGGGCTGTGGCAGTATTTCCTAAGGACCATAGTTCCCTTCTTCAAGGGACCCTGGCTGAGCATTTTGGGGTGCTCCCAGGACCCAGGGACCATGGGGGCCCCACCCAGCGGGACCTCAACGGCCCTGGCCTTAGCCGTGTACGTGAGAGCCTGAGCCTACCCGCCCATTCTCTGGAGCACCTGGGCCCAGCCCATGGAGGAGGAGGTGGGGGAGGCAGCAACAGCAGCGGTGGCCCTCCCTTGGGTCCCTCACACAGAGACACCATCAGCCGGAGTGGTATGATTTTACGGAGTCCCCGGCCAGACTTTCGGCCTAGGGAACCTTTTCTCAGCAGAGACCCGTTTCACAGTTTAAAGAGACCCAGGCCACCTTTTGCTAGGGGCCCTCCGTTCTTTGCACCAAAACGCCCATTCTTCCCTCCCAGGTACTGATGGAAACCAAGGGAAAGGCATTTTGAACAGTCTAGAGAGCATTGGAAGTAGGAGTTTGGTTTATTGTTGTTTTCATTTGTTTTTCCCTTCCTTGATTTTTTTTTAAATTACAACAAAGGGCCTCTCTTCCAAATTAAAAAATCATATATGCTTGCATTTCACTAGTCCATTCAGTCTTCCCTCCCACTGCACTTAATCTACCTTCTCTGAGTTATTTGTATTTTTTTTTTTTAAGGTAAATTCAACTTAAGCCACTTCGTTTGGCTGCTGGGGGCTTGGGGAATGGGGAGGAAAACTTTATTGAAGAGTATTACTACATTTGAAATAAAACTTCCATCAGTACAGATAATAACATGTGCGATGTTGGGATTTTATTTGGGGCTTAGCTTATCAGGTAGTGAATGGAAGGATTCCTGTCCCAGCTAAGTAATTGCTTTCACCAGCTTGTCCTCCCTGTATGCTCTCTGCTGACAGCCAAGAGATGTTACAAGGGAGGAAATGTGGGAGACATTGAACCTTTCAGGTTTATTTGTTTTGTTTTGTTTTTAAAGGCATGTTGAAGTTGAGATCTTTACCCTTGTAAAAAAAAAATTTTTTTTTTTTAAATCAGCCTCTTCCCATAAAGTTCTGGCAATAACTTTGAGTACGTACAAACTTGATTCTATTCTACTAAATTTTTTTCTCTTCATACTTGGAATGAAAGGACGGGGCTTAATATAATTCAATTTAGAATAAGGAGTGAGTACAATATATAAAGTTAGGAAAGGAAGCATCAGTGGTATGACGTGACCTGCCTGTTCATAAACAAAAGAATAGGGAACATTTTCAAGGTAGTTTCACATGTCTTGCATGCACTTAGCTCTTGCCTCCTGCTCTTCTTTTTTGACTTTTTCTCCCTCAGTTTTTACTCTTCTGTGCCCAGACAGACAGTTACCATAATTGACTCATCAATACAAAGGTGCAGCTGAAATATTATCCCTGCATTTTTTAGCATAAATATACATTAATTTTACCTTGGTGCCTCCCTAATGTAAGTGATATTTGTTAGTGGTTTTCAACAAAGGTTAACTATTAGAGAAAGGAAAAATGTGTCTTTATTTTTCTTCCTCTTTGACTCAGTCCTATATTCACCCCTATTGATATTTTAAAGGAGGAGATCAGTAGCATTTTTCTTTATATCGTATCTCTTCAGATATGTCTTAGAAGTGGTTATTAGTATACACATGTTTACAGAGAAACAGAAGGTCCTAGTAAGTCCAAATTTACCCCACACTATAGATAGCAGTATGTTACATTTCAAGGCTCAGGCTGTATCCCCACTACCCACCCCAGAAAGTAAAGATTGATTCTGCCTTTAAGTCATTTTACATGAGAGCGAAGTGCTTTCCTTCTCCCTGGACTGGAAGGCTTATTTTTATTTCTATATCCAGTACTGGGGAAAAGACAATCACTGTACGTTTAATTGGATATCTAGAGACACTAATGAGAAAATGTTGTTTAACTACTATTTCGTTTATTATTAGCATCTTACCCTAAGGTGTCCACACTGATAATCTCCAGCTAGATGAATGAAAGTATTCAGTTTCGGGGGAAATGACAGCATGGTTCATCTGTTTTCTCCAAGTTATGTCTGGAACTATCAGAAGTATAGGAGCTGCTTCAGACTCCTGCTAAAGGTGTGGAGGGTGGGTGGTGTAGTGACAGAAGGTGATTCTTTGTTTCAGAGTAAGCTTGCTTTTCAGAGAAAGCAGCTTAAACCAAGTGTGCATTAGTTGGGGGTCTCTGTGTAATTTATTTTGTTATTTATTTGGGCTCACTTTGTGTTCTGTAGCAGACCTAGTCAGTTGCTTCCTAAGGCACATCTGGTCTTCTTCCTTGACCTCAAGCTTCTCTGCCCTGTGTGGGATGAGGTATATAGTGTAGCAAAGAAAAGAAAGTATACTTATTATTGAGTGCTAAGACATTCGTGTAGAGAAAAGCATAATAGAAATTGGGGGTGGGGAGAATTCTATTTTACTTCCAAAATTGAAATAGACTTTTTTTTTTGCATACAATCAAGCAGGGTGTTTTTCATTGTAGAATAAGAATGTGAATTCTTTCTGCTACTTTTGTTTAAGCTAAAAGTAGTGTTTACTTGAAATGCTCTCTGACCTTTTGATTTTATCAGAAAATATAGAGGTATCAGAAAAATAGCTTCCTGAATGTCAGGACAGAGAGACTGTCCTCAAAGAGTGATGACTGATACACAAAAGGAAGGCTTTGTTGTACAGTTTAAAAGATAGACATTTAAGGAGTTGGGTTTTTGTGGGTTATTTTTGTGTTGTCTTTTAAGCCACAGAATCCTCAGTATGTTTGTTTTACAGTGGAAGTGAGGATGTATCTCTGACAGTCAGCTGTTAATGTTGAGGAAATCTGTCTACAACGGTAAATGAAGATGACAATGTATATATGTGATATAGTGAAATGAAAAAGACAGTTCTGGTTTTTGTAACATGAGACAGAGGGGTTTCATTCTTTCTGTGTCTGTGATTTAAAATTCTATGACCATGCTCCAACTTTTGTATTTCAACCTGCGTTTAAAAAAAATAAACAAGATATTTTTTAAAGAAAGCATAACTTAGTGTGTCTGGCAAGGACATGATTCATATGAAAGCCTAAGTAGAATTTGTTATTAAGGTTCTTGGTGCTCACTGTAAAATCACAGACAGAGAATTGGTTTGGTGGGGGGTTGGAGTACACTAACAGTTTAGTGATAAGAGTGTTAGAAGGAGGGTGCTTGAGTATTTTGAAAAAGCTTACTCTTCCTTCAGCTTAGATAAGAGCTCTTTCCTGATACCCCTCAGCCCTCTAAAAAGTCAAGAGTAAATAAAATGTGGGTTGATTCCAGGGAGGGTAAAATGAGCAGAGAATAGGACCTTTATCTTTTCCCACACCAGGAATACAATGTTTGTGATATATATGGTACAGCAAACCTGTCTAGATAATGTGACTATGCTAAACTTCCTAACTGCAAAATCTTCACACTCAATCCTAAAGTTACTGTGCAGAATTAAGCTTCAGCTGTTAATGTTTTGAAGCCGCTGTAAATTACTGCTTCCTCCTCCCCCCCCCTTTTTTTAAGTGGGCAGGGGTGCCTGTTAAAATTAGATATGTTGGATTGAAATTCTCACGTGTTCAGTGTGGAAAACAAAACAAGTACATGCTTTAGAAGCAACAGAAATGAAATCCTTTTGAAATGTGTATTAATGTCATTTAATAAAATAACTAGTTCTAAAGGTTTGACATTTTTCTTTGAGACTGGGGCTTTGACCAAGGGCCCCTGGCTTCTCTGGTGAGTGCAAATAGGAGGGAACTTCTCCAGGAGCCACAACTGCTGCTTTGTGAAGCAGGCCTGTGGTTGGAAAACCTAAATGTTCTCCAGCAAAGACCCAACAAGGTTGTCCAGGGCTGAAGATGAAACCAACTACAGAATGCAGAAAGAAAAGCCTGGATTTATCTCTGAAGAAATGATTGTATTGGCTTCTGGTCCAAGGGTACGTGGGGTGGTATCAGGGAAGTGGTGTGTGTGCCCACACGTCCTGAGGCATATACAAGGATACCATAGACTTCTCATTTTGTCCCTTCCTGGTAACCACTTGCACTTTACTCTCTTCCAGCCATTCCTTTATTTTTTTAAATCTTTGTCCTTAATATTTTGTTTCCAGTTTAATAAAGAATGGTTCCTTTTGTTGTGTGGTTGACTTTTCCCCTGTCATGTTGATCTTACCCAGATGTCCCCTTTGACTTTTCCACCTAATGTCATGGAAAGCAATCAGAGCCTCTGAGATCTTCATGGACTTGTGGGTTTTTTCTCTTTGTTCCTTTGTGTAAATTGAATTTTAGAAAGGGATGATGAGTGGGGTGAGATATAGATGTTCAGGGAATGGTTTATAATGAAGTGGGATATATTGTGTGGATAATTATTTGTGTGTGTCTTCAAAAATGTATACAGTTGTGAGCCAGGAAACCTCTTTAAAGCAGCCTGGAATGGGGTTGAGAGTAATAGGGATCATCCTCTAGCCATTTCCCCACGTCTACCCTTGTTACTGCATATTGGTAGTCTGTCATACGGAAGCCACACTTAACCCTTCTCTCTTGCCCCATCCCTTTTCATAATTTAGTGAGTGTTAATAAGTGGAATGTTGGCTTTAAGGGATAAAGAAGGATAGTCACTGAATCTGGGCCAGGCCTAGGTCATTGGCAGGGTAGAAGCTTCTAAATAGCAGCCTTGATTATGTGAAGCTGCATGTGTGTCATGAGACACTTAAGAAGTAGCAGTGGCCTGGGAACACACCCAGCAGGTAGGGTGCACCACTGTATTGGAATCTGGTTCACCCTTTTTTCCTTGTCCCTTCTTGGGACCCTGATTTGCCCCCCCCCCCCATTCCCGTCTTTACCCCGAAGGAATCAATCACTTTTAGGCTCCTCATTGGCCTTTCTAGGCATGTTATTGAAAATGATAACTTCCTCCTCTTGTTTTATTTAAGCCAGTCCTGTATAGGGGATGAGTTATCCCCTTGTGTGTGTAGACATAGTCACAAACCATTAGAATGGGTTCTGGAGTATTGAGGTGTTTCTCATACTTGTTATGAGTAATTGTATGGACGAGTCTGGTCAGCTGCTATTCACAATTGCTGAGTAATAACTCACTGAGGCTGTGTAGACAAGGCCAAAAGCGGGACACAAGTAAGAGATACTGGTCCTTAAGTAAACACCCTTTAAAGGAAATGAGCGAGTATAATGTAAAACTAAATATCAATGTTACTTTTGACTAATTGCTGGAGGAGCAACAGTATTCTTTTGCTTAATTACAGGTTTAAAGAGAAGGAGATAAGTCTACTATTTAAAAATTGATCATTGCAGTTATATTCATCCTTCTATCCATGGGGGATTGGCTCCAGGACCCCAGGAGATACCAAAATCTGCAGATCCTTGATTCTTTATATAAAACAGCATATTTATATGTAGCCTATGCACATCTTCCAGTATGTTCTAAAATGTCTCTATACTACTTGGAATACCTAGTACAACATAAGTATTGTGTAAGTAGTTCACTGTATTAGTTTGGGTTTTGTTTGTTTTTTGAGACCGTTTCACTCTGTTGCCAAGGCTAGAGTGCTATGGCCTCTACCTAGCTCACAGCAACCTCAAATTCTTGGGCTCAATTGATCCTTCTGCCTCAGCCTCCCAAGTAGCTGGGACTACAGCTGCCCTCCACAACCTGGCTGATTTTCCTATTTTTAGTAGAGCGGGGTTCCCGAACTTGTTTGGGCTGGTGCAGCAATCCTCTCACCTCTGCCTTCCATAGTGTGAGGATCATAGGAATGAACCACTGCCTCCAGCCTCTGTATTGGTTTTTAAATTTTGTATTTGTTATTACTTTGTATTGGTTTTTCCCAAAAATATTTTTGGGTTTTTTGTTTGTTTGTTTGAGACAGTCTCATTTTGTCACCCTCAGTAGAGTGCTGTGGTGTCATAGCTCATAGCAACCTCAAACTTTTGGGCTAATGTGATCCTCTTGCCTCAGCCTCCCAAGGAGCTGGGACTACTGGTGCCTGCCACAATGCCCTGCTATTGTTTTTAGAGATGGGGTCTTGTCCCTGTTTAGGCCCGTCTTGAACTCAAGCAATCCACCCCACTCTGTTGCCCTGGCTTCATAGCTTACAGCAACCTCTTGGGCTTAAGCAATCCTACCTCAGCCTTCCAAATACAAGTCCAAATGCTGGGCCACCACATCTGGCCAGTTCTTGTAAATAAGGGGTCTCATCTTGCTCAGGCTAGGCTCAAACTCCTGAGCTCAAATGATACACCTGACTCGGCCTCCCAGAGTGCTAGTATTACAGGTATGAGCCCACTCACCTGGAAGCCCCCAAATATTTTTTCTTTACTCCCCAAATATTTTTGATCTGAGGTTAAATAAATCCACATATTTAGAACCCCAAAACATGGAATACTAACTGTACTTTTTTTCCCCCCCAGAGCTGGTTTTGAACCTGCCACCTCCAGCATATAGGGCTGGTGCCCTACTCCTTGAGCCACAGGTGCCACCCTAACTGTACTTTATTATTTCACTATTTCATTTTTATTTTATTTTTTTCTGTCCTTTCACCTTGTGTTCACATCTAGGCAAGACTCAGAAGTTGAGAAAACAGATGTGGGTGGAAATCCTAGTAAGCTCTGCAGTGCTAACTGAGAAAACCCAGGCTGCAGTTTTTTGTGTTTGACTAAAAAGGGTGTTGGCTATACCAGTCCACCTTGGGCATGTTCGGGTTCATGGCAAATTAGATGTCCCAGCAACTAACTTCCTCATCCCCATTGCATCCCTTTATTTTTGAGAATTTTTCAAGTATTTTGCCACAGTTTGTGGAAAAGACAAGATATAAAGGGAATTTCCTACATTTCTTCTTGAGGTGTTTGAGAAAGGATTAGCAGAAAGAAAGCAGATGGACAGCACTCACTTCCTTTGTTTTCCTGTCCCACCCCCACTCCAGTGAGGAGTCCTTTGCACCTACCTGAGCTAGCCAATCATTGCCAAGAGTGGTAATAGTAAAGGATTAACTTGAAATCTTGGTTATTTAGAAGCAGACCTTAGCTGTTCATACAGGTTGAGCATCCAAAATCCAAAATTTTGAGCAACAGAATGACAAAGGAAATGATCATTAGAGGATTTCAGATGTTGGGATTAGGGGTGTTCAACTGGTAAGTATAATACAAATATTGCAAAATCTGAGGGGGGGGAATTGAAAATTGGAAGCACTGGCTCGGCGCCTATAGCTCAACCGGCTAAGGCGCCAGCCACGTACACCTAAGGTGGCGGGTTCGAATCCCCAGCCCGGACCCGCCAAACAACAATGACGGCTGCAACCAAAAAATAGCCGGTGTTGTGGCGGGCGCCTGTGGTCCCAGCTACTTGGGAGGTGGAGGCAGGAGACTCGCTTGAGCCCAGGAGTTGGAGGTTGCTGTGAGCTGCAATGCCATGGCACTCTGCCCAGGGGGACAGCTTGAGGCTCTGTCTCAAAAAAAAAAAAAAAAAAAAAAAAAGAAAATTGGAAGCACTCTGGTCTCAAAGATTTGGGGTAAGGGATACTCAACCTGTATTTCCTTCTATGGATGTATCTTGGACTTAAAGTGCTTTGTTCCCCACCACCACCTTTTGTTTGTTTTTTAGAGAGAGAGTCTCATTTTATTGCCCTTGGTAGAGTGCTGTGGCATCACTGCTCACAGCAACCTCCAACTCCTGGGCTCAAGCGAGTCTCCTGCCTCAGCCTCCCAAGTAGCTGGGACCACAGGCGCCTGCCACAACGCCCAGCTATTTTTTGGTTGCAGCTGTCATTGATGTTTGGCGGCCCAGGCTGGATTCGAACCCGCCACCTTAGGTGTATGCGGCTGGCGCCTTAGCCACTTGAGCTACAGGTGTTGAGCCCGCCCAGCTATTTTTTTGTTGTTGCAGTTTGGCCAGGGCCAAGTTTGAACCCACCACCCTCGGTACATGGGCCCGGTGCTCTACTCGCTGAACCACAGGTGCCACCCAACAGTTGACCCATCCCTGCACTGGTTTCCATGTTTGGGAGATTACCCTATTTCTACCCTGGCCGTGACCTGACAGTCAGGGACAAAGCTTAGGGTGTCTGTGTCCTTCTCTTTCACAGACTCAAGAGATACTCTGGGGAAGGGAAGTCTTGAGAGATTTTTGGATCAGCCCAGACTTTCTTTTTTTTCTTTCTTTTTTTTTTTTCTTGAGACAGAGTCTCAACAGTGTTGCCCTCAGTAGAGTGCTGTGCTGTCACAGCTCACAGCAACTTCAAACTCTTAGGCTGAAGCAATTCTCTTGCCTCAGCCTCGCAAGTAGCTGGGACTACAGGCGCCCACCACAACACCTGTCTATTTGTTTTTTGTTTGTTTTTTTGTAGGTGTCATTGTTGTTTTAGCTGGCCCAGTCAGGTCTTGAACCCACCAGCCTCAGTGCATGTGTCTGGCGACATAGCCACTGTGCTACAAGAGCAGAGCTGAAAAGGCAACTTCTTTAAAAAAATAAACATAACCTCCATACCACCTGGTGTGCCTTTAGCCACTTAGCTACTTCTTTGGCCTCAAGAACATTTGGTGGCAGTGACATGAACTTTATGTATTTTACATTATTAGAATTCTCTCTCTCCCTCTCCATCCCTCCCCCCACCCCTTCTCCAATACCTTTTCTATGGTGCAAGAAAATAGGGGGAAATTTGCTTCTAAGAGCTAACAGTTGGAAATATGTGCTGATTCTGATGACAAACAGAAAATGTATTTAACTTCAATGGGGAATATTCTTATATATAGTTTAAAGCAGCAGTTCTCAATGCGTGGGTTGCGGCATTAGGAAGGTTGAGAACCACTGGTTTAAAGTTATAAAAGTAATATCTTCTCAACCAGGATTTTAGTTAACTTTAGATGTCTATTCTGCAAAGTGGAGTTGGACTGACAATTTCCTAAAATTTGACTAAGGATCTAGGACACCCTTTGCTGAGGATTCCCTTTTCCCACATTTCTATGGAAATCTAGCATTATTTCCTTCACACTTGTTTTTCCTCAAACTTAGTCTGGTAGAGAAAAATTGAAAGACGCTGCTTGTTGGCTTTTATTGGATAACCCCCGCCCCTTCACTCTATATTCAAGATCTCTTTGGCCACAAGTATCCAAGCCCCTGAGTCTTGTACTCTAGAGAAGAAAAAGGAGCTGTGCTACCAAGCATGATACATGACTACTAACCTGGTCCCTGAGAGGCAGCATAGCTTAGCATAAACAGGTAGACTGGGGCTTGGCTCTGAGGATCATTTTCTATGTTTTATTTCATTTTATTTTATTTATTTATTTATTTTTGAGACAGGCCTCAAGCTGTCCCCCTGGGTAGAGTGCTGTGGCATCACAGCTCACAGCAACCTCCAACTCCTGGGCTCAAGTGCATCTCCCGCCTCCGCCTCCCAAGTACCTGGGAGCACAGGCGCCCCCCACAACACCTGGCTATTTTTTTTTTTGTTTTTTGGTTGCAGCCGTCATTGTTGTTTGGCAGGCCCAGGCTGGATTCAAACTCGTCACCTTAGGTGTATGTGGCTGGCGCTTTAGTCACTTAAGCCACAGGCGCCGAGCCATTTTCTATGTTTTAAAGGGAGCATAAAAATAGCTACTACTTGGCACAGTTCTAGGAATTAAATTAGATAGTGAAGCACTTGGTACATACTAGGTGTTCAGTAGTAGTCTGGTGGACTGGAGGGAGACAGATGGGCAACAGAAGATTTAGGGATGTTTCCCAGGCCAACTAATGGATTAAAATTCTCTGAGGTTGAAACATAGGCTAGTCACAAGTCAGGGGTTGTAGAAGAACTTCTAATTTACAAATTGGCCTTAGTTCTTTTTTTTTTTTTTGAGACAAGAGTTCCACTATGTCACCCTGGATAGAGTGTTATGGTGTCACAGCTCACAGCAACCTCACACCCTTGGGCTCAAGCGAGTCTCTTGCTTCAGTCTCCCAAGTAGCTGGGACTACAGTTGCCTGCCACAACACCCGGCTATTTTTGTTGCAGTTGTCATTGTTATTTTAGCTGGCCCAGGCTGGGTTCAAACCTGCCAACTTCAGTGTAGGTGGCTGGCGCCATAACCACTGTGCCATCATGGGTGCTGAGCCTGGCCTTAGCGTATGCATGCGTGCTTGCTTGCTTGCTTGCTTGCTAACAGGGAATAGGATGGAGTAACTTTTGATATTCTTTCCTTCCTCCACTGCAACACAAGTTAGACAGGTGGTAGTGTGTTAGTTGATCGTTCGTGGGCACCCCCTCAGCACTCGGCTTGCTTCTTTGCACACAGAAAGCAGTCAGTAAATGACAGAGTGTGGAAGCTGCTATCTTATGGTCTCCTACTCATTTCATCACCCCCCCCCTTTTTTTAAGAGACAAAGTCTCACTTTATCGCTCTCGGTAGAGTGCTGTGGGGTCACGGGTCACAGCTCACAGCAACCTCCAACTCCTGGGCTTAGACAATTCTTTTGCCTCAGCCTCCTGAGTAGCTGTGACTATAGGCACCCGCCACAACTCTCGGCTATTTTTTGTTGCAGTTTGGCCGGGGCTAGGTTCGAACCTGCTACCCTCGGTATATGGTGCCAGAGTCTCACTTTATTGCCTTCGGTAGAGTGCTGTGACATCACAGCTCACAGCAACCTCCAATCCTGGGCTTAGGCGATTCTCTTGCTTCAGCCTCCCGAGTAGCTGGGACTACAGGCGCTCGCCACAATGCCTGGCTGTTTTCTTGTTGCAGTTTGGCCGGGGCTGGATTTGAACCCACCACCCTCGATATATGGGGCCGGCGCCCTACTCATTGAGCCACAGGCACGGCCCTGCCATTTTAAATTCTTACTACCTTCTCCCAAGAGAACACAGACACACACAAGTAATCTTTCCCACACAGTCTTGACTTTTTCTCTTTGTTTTTCAGGGTGCCTCACATACCAGAAGATGGAGCCAAGATCCAGAGTGGGGCTTATGACTCAGATCTGCTGCCCAGACAGGACTTCTGGCCTCTTTGGAAACCTAGATTAAGCTGCTTTCTCTGACAGCTCTTCCTCTACAACCCTTGATTCTGTCACTATTGAAACTTCAGAACTGACTCTAACCATCCACATCCCCAGGTGAGGGGAATTTTGAGAATTACTAAGAGCCTGACAGCTACCCCCAAATCTATTTTCTTTCAGACTTTTCTACAGTCTGACTGTATTTTCATTTTTCCTGTGGAAAATTAATCAAATATACCTACTGGGAGATGGAAGAGAAGGAATAAAGAATAAAGGAAAGTTGAGGGCTGGGATGGGAATGAGAGACAAAGGGCATATGTAAGGATCAGAGGGGGTTTAATTCTAGTCAGGCACGTTTTCCTGAGGTACTTGGGGAGTGTATTTCTTCCCCATTACTAGGGGAAGCACGGTGTGGAAGAAGAGTACAAGACTTGGAGTCAGAAGCCACCATTAGCACTTGCTGTTTGACCTTAAATTCCTCCAGCTAAGATTAAGAAGTCTCCAAAATCCCTTTTAAACACTATGCATATGAAAGGACTCCAAGAAGTGACCTTTGAAGATTCTTTGCTCCAGCCTTAAAGCTGTTATATCCATTTACCGTAATTGCTTCTTGTTGCTCTTGCCCATTACCAAAACCATGCACTGTATTAGGCGACTTAAATAAAATTAACCTTAATTGAAAGTGATACTATTATTTTCATTTTATGTTTGAAAAATTGAGGCTTAAAGAAATTAATTTATCCAAAATTACATGATTAATGGCAGAGCCAGAATTTACTTTAGGTCTGTCTGGTTTCAAACTCTATGCTTAGTCTTAACGGTTTTTGTATCTCTTGTAAGGACCATGTAAAAGAACCTTTCACGGTTAAAGGGAAATTACTAACTACCATTTCTTGTCTGTTTTTCTCCCATTCGTGCCCGGAAAATTACCCCACCTCTGTTGTCAAATCACGGACCGCCTTATTGCTACTTTAGGGTTTCAGCAGAAACGGAGCAGGTCTCGGGATTACGGGGCTGTGTTACAGTTTCCGTCTTCCGGCCAGCCGGAACTACTTACACAGCGGCCGGTGCTGTGTGAGGTGTGGCCCCGCGGAGCTCCTGGAGGTGGTACCAGGCTAGAGTGACAGCTGTAGGAACCAATAGGCAAGGAGATTGTTAGGTCAGAAGCCAAAGACGAATATGAAGGAGAAGCGGCGATAATCTGTTTGAGCAAGTAGGCACGGGTCTGAAGAGACATGAGGCTGTATCGGAGATGGCAACGACTCCAGTTCCCTGGGTTACAGGCCTGCGTGCTCCACACGGTACGTGAGGTACCCAAAAGTTCCTAACGGCATCAGACCCAAGGATGTATATAGGTTCTCAACCCAGTCTTCCGCCGCCACTTCTCCCTCTGCACGGACAGCGCAGCCAGGCTTCTTGAGTCTGCGGTCTGGGGAGCGCAGAGATGCGTAGGGCCCCCACCCTCAGTCACCAGAGATTGACCAGGACCACTTAAATGTTCATAAGGCCTATCATCCTCAATCGTAAAATAGGAACGATGGGATCTGTGTTTCCTGCTAACATACCTTTCTTTCCAGGCAGCTGTGCCAACCCCTCCGCACTGGTTGGCAGAGCGGCTTGTCCTTTTTGAGGAGCTATGGGCTGCTCAGGTTAAGAGGGTTGCAAGCATGGCACAGAAGGAACCCCGGACTATTAAGATATCACTTCCTGGAGGCCAGAAAGTGGATGCTGTGGCATGGAACACAACCCCTTACCAACTAGCCCAGAAGATCAGGTACCAGAGAGCTATACTTACTGGTATTGTCCTTCCCCTTTAGTTCCTCTGCACCAGAGTAGGGAAAGAAAACTTGATCTGCTTGTTCCTGTTCTATCCCCATCAACCAGAGGTTTTTTTATCTGTTTGTCTCAGCCCTTCCCTTGGAGAAAGAAATAATAGGTTGTTTCCTCTTTGCAAGTTGCTGTGGATTGTAACACTTTTTAATTTACTTTTTTATTAATACAGAATGTACATATTTTTAAGGTACATATGGTATTTTGATACATGCATACAATGTGTAATGATCAAGGTATTTAAGACATCCATCATCGGGCAGCGCCTATGGACGCCAGCCCCATATACTGAGGGTGGTCGGTTCAAACCCGGCCCTGGCCAAACTGCAACAAAAAAATAGCCAGCTGTTGTGGCGGGCGCCTGTAGTCCCAGCTACTCAGGAGGCTGAGGTAAGAGAATCACTAGGAGCTGGAGGTTGCTGTGAGTTGTGACGCCACAGCATTCTACCGAGGGCAGCAAAATGAAACTCTTTGTCTCTTTAAAAAAAAAAAAAAAGATACCTATCATCGGCTCAGCACTGGTTACAGCGCCAGCCACATGCACAGAGGCTAGGGGATTCGAACCCAGGCGCCAGCTAAACAACGACAACTGCAACAACAACAACAAAAATAGATAGGCATTGTGGCGGGCACCTGTAATCTCGGCTACTTGGGAGGCCAAGGCAAGAGAATTGCTTAAGCCCAACAGTTTAAGGTTGCTGTGAGATGTGACACCATGGTACTCTACCAAGGGTGACATAATGAAACTCCTCCAACATTTATCATTTCTTTATATTGGGAATATTTCAGATCTTCTCTACTAGCTATTTTAAAATATGCAATAAATTATTGTTAATTGTAGTCACCCTTTTGCGCTACCAAGAACTTATTCCTTCTACATAACTGTATGTTGTACCCATTAGGCAAGCTCTTTTCTTTCTTTTCTTTTTTTTAGAGACAGAGTCTCACTTTATCGCCCTTGGTAGAGTGCCATGGCATCACAGCTCACAGCAACCTCCAGCTCTTGGGCTTAGGTGATTCTCTTGCCTCAGCCTCCCAAATAGCTGGGACTACAGGCACCCGCCACAATGCCCGGCTATTTTTTTTGTTGCAGTTTGGCCGGGGCCAGGTTTAAACCCACCACCCTCGGTGTATGGGGCCAGCGCCCTACTCACTGAGCCACAGGTGCCACTCAAGGCAACCTCTTTTCATTTCCCCTCCCCCATCCTCCCTAACCTCTGTTAACTATCATTCTTTATACCTCCATGAGATCAACTTTTTAACTCCCATATGTGAGTGAGAGCATCCACTCTCTTTCTATGCTTTGTAACTCTTTCTTTTTCTTCATCCCTACCTCCTACTGCTGAAGTTCAGTGCTGGCAGGTACTGCAGTAGCTGCTCAAGTGAATGGAGAACCTTATGATCTGGAGCGGCCCTTGGAGACAGATTGTGATCTTAGATTTCTTACATTCGATTCCCCAGAGGGAAAAGCAGTAAGTTTCTTTCTTATTTGGAATGCATTGGCTATTAAATTAAGAGATAGTTGAATGGGAAATGATAACATTTCTTTTATATATCTTTTTTATTTTTTTGAGACAGTTGCCCTAGACTATAGTTCCGAAGCTTCAGCCTAGCTCACAGCAACCTCAAATTCCTAGGCTTAAGCAATCCTACTGCCTCAGCCCCCCAAGGAACTGGGAATATAGGCACCTGCCACAGTGCCCAGCTAATTATTATGTTTTTAGCAGAGAAGGGTCTCATTGTTGTTGGTTTTTTTTTAATTGGCCAGGGCCGGATTTGAACCCACTACCTCCAGTATATGGGGCCAGAGCCCTACTCCTTTGAGCCACAGGCCCCACCCAAATATTTTGAGGGGTTTTTTTGTTTGTTTGTTTGTTTTGCAGGGCTGGGTTTGAACCCGCCACCTCTGGCATATAGGGCCAGCGCCCTACAAAGGGTCTCATTCTTCTTTAGGCTGGTCTTGAACTCCTAAGCTAAAGTGATCCACCCTCTTCAGCCTCCTAGAGTGCTAGGATTACAGGTGTGAGCCACCATGCTCTACCTAATTTCTTTTGCCTCATTTTCTCCATTTGCAGATGAGAGGGAAACTCCTGCCATAGACTGTCTTGACTATCTGACTATTCCTGGCTACTTGGAAACTTAGGATGAAAATTTTTACTTAGTTTCAATCTATAAGCCAAACATTTGTGTTAGTGAAAGGGAGAGATAATAGATTGAAAACAGAAGGATAATACCCAAGTTCAGCCCCTTGTCTTTTGAGCACATACATTACAAGTCATCTGTAGTGTATACTCAATTCTAACATGGCTTCTAGAACTGAGCACACAACCTGGCCAGCCTCCCACTTCGTCCTCTTCATGTTAGCTTAGGTAACACAGACCTTGTCTATTAGAATCTTGAAAAATGGAGTTCTCGTGTCATCTTTGTATACTTTGTGACCAGATCCTAGAGGAGTGATTGTGTTGCTCTAGATGCATGAGATAGAAAAATAGCACTGTCTAAGAAAATAGTTTATTCTAAAGTCCTGAAAGGTCATAGGAGCAGCAAAAGAGGACTGGCCTCCTGCTTCTGTGCTCCACGACTGGGAAGCACCAAGAACTGGGAGTAGGGCTGAGCTTCTGTGCACTGGCCTTATGCTTTCTTTTCTATGCAGTCTTTTTTTTTTTTTAATCTTTTACTATATGTTGGTCACGCCCAAAGTCTAGGTTCTGTATTTTGTAGTAGTTATTTCTAGAGCCATACTGGTTTTCCCATCAGCTTCTCTGAGGAAGAGAACAGTGTATATAGGGGTTAAGAGAGAAATCTATCAACTTCTAAACTTTCTTGTGAACCCAGGTGTTCTGGCATTCTAGCACCCATGTCCTGGGAGCAGCAGCTGAACAATTCCTAGGTGCTATTCTCTGCCGAGGTCCAAGTACAGAATGTGGCTTTTACCATGATTTCTTCCTGGGAAAGGATCGGTGAGTAATGCAAGAAAGAAAAAAAGAATTCTGGGGTGGTTTCTAAGGCACTTTTCAGGGGTCCTAACCATGTCCAATTTGGAGGAGAAAGGTGGAAAAGGGCTTCTTTAGGCCTCAACTATGATAGTGATACCACATTCTCTGCTATGACCTTCCTCTTCTTTTTTTTTTTCCGGTTGCAGCCATCATTGTTGTTTGGCAGACCTGGGCTGGATTCGAACCCACCACCTTAGGTGTATGTGGCTGGCGCCTTAGCCACTTGAGCCACAGGCGCTGAGGCTGACCTTCCTCTTCTAACTCTGCTTGAAACTTTCTTAGCCTTCACAAAATCAAATAATACTTTATCCCCTTGTTTTTATTCTAATTTTGTTCATTTCCCACATTCAGCTTTTAACTTCACACACAGAACTTTCTCTCTAGCTGTAAAATATGTAACATGATTTTCTATTTTACTGCACTCCGTAGCTTACAGGTATGTTGCCCAGGTGATTGATGCATCTTACAAGATGCAAGTTAACCAACTCTCCTCTCTCCAGGACAATCCGGGGCTCAGAGATACCTGTTTTAGAACGGATTTGCCAGGAATTTGCAGCCACTGCTCAACCCTTCCGGAGGCTAGAGGCTTCCCAGGATCAGCTTCGCCAGCTCTTCAAGGTAGGGTGGAGGGAAGAAGTGGCTTTCTCCCAGGACATTTTTCTGGGAACAAAGACTTGTCTTCAGTCTTTTATTCTACCTTTTTCCAGGATAACCCCTTTAAGCTTCACCTGATTGAGGAGAAAGTGACAGGTCCAACAGCAACAGTATATGGGTAAGAGTGGGTCAAGATTAAGGGAAACAGGAAGAAGTGGGGAAGCACTGAAGAAGTTCAGAATGGGAAAGAAGGTAGATGGTATTGTTCTTGAAAAAGAAGTAGGAACAGAAGTTGATTTTTATCTACCACTACTCTCTCTGTCTATAGAACAGTTAGTTCCTTCCTTTTCACATCCTTTTCCTGTCACCTAAAGGCCGTGAAAGGGAGAAAACTAGAAGCTCAAGAATCTGGAAGTGGCTCGGTGCTGGTAGTTCAGTGGCTAGGGCGCCAGCCACATACACTATAGCTGTACGCCAATCCAGCCCCAGCCTGCCAAACAACAATGACAACTACAGCCAAAAAAAATAGCCAGGTATCGTGTCGGGTACCTGTAGTCCCAACTACTTGGGAGGCTGAGGCAAGAGAATCACTTAAACCCAAGAGTTTGAGGTTGCTGTGAGCTGTGATGCCATGGCACTGTACTGAG